CAAACCTTTTTTTTTCAGTTTTCCTTTATTATTGACCATATATTACTTATTATGTATCATACATTATATATTACATATTATATATCATACACCATATACCACATTCTATATGTATATCATATAGGCTATACTATATATCATATATACAGGTATACACGTACATACATATGTACACATATATTTTGTTATGCCTAGGTCAACATTTTCGTTTCGAAGAACAATGTTGTAATAATGCACAATTCCGGTTCATTTTATAATAAAGAAAATATTAGAGAAATACTGTTTTTTACTATAGAATTCGACAAAAGATATTTCTGAAATTTCTCATTCAGTTATCATTTTGATTTGAATCTTTTGTATTTTACAAACTGTTTATACTCCATCTGCTTACGCAAAAGTAAGAAGTGAAACGAGTTTGGGTTTTATATTTTTTTACAAATAGTAGCATTTTCAAAAATTATATTTTTCACAAAAGAAGTAGAACTAGGTTAGGATTTCAAGTCACGGAATACTTGCTGTAGGTTTTCGCAATAACCTTAATTTATAGGATACTTTTAGTAATTATTAAGGGCGGAATAAGAGTGTTGCTTTTCAAACAAAGTATAATAATGTTTTAAATTCTTTTATGTAAGTACACCAATCCTATATTTACATATATTTGGTAGCAAGCATAATGTCCTTTTTTTTTATTTCTATATCGACCAAAAATTTTGGTGATATCGATGTTTTATTGTGGTCTCCAAATGGGAGAAGTAAACCAAAGTAATTCATAAAGAAAAATAAATATATTTACATGTGTATACATTCTTTTTTTTTTTTTATGGAACATTAGAAATTATCGTTCCTTTACCAATTTGGTAATGTGGAGGTACTTGCAGCTTTTTAGGTTTTGACTGAGGACTGGCGTAAAGTACAGATTATACAGACACGAGGATTATATATACATTCTTTGATACTATGGATGCTTAATGGTGATAAATCACAAATTCCTGGGGATAGAATTTTTATCACCTCAGGACATCAGAAAGATTATAGCCATTAGTATGTACTAACCCTAGCCCTACTAAACTTTGCTACTAACAGCATGTCCAATGCGTCATAAGACCTGAGGAAAGCAGATTGCAGCACCGCTTTTTCCTTAATGATGGTGACTGCGCATGCAGGTACTCATGACATAAAGAGGGTGCAATATTGAACCCTTTCTATATAAATATTATTACAGAAAAAAGGAAGCAATAGGTTTACAATTTTAAGCTAATTTAGATAGAGTACCATTGGGAAATAAAAGAACTATAGCTATTTGAAACGTTTTGAATTTCGTCTTGATATTTTGTTTCAGAAACATCAGTAACTAATTCAAATTCAAGTCAATGTATAGTCCACTGATATAATAGATATAAGACACATATAATTGTAGTTATCTATTTCGTGATATTTCATGTATACTTGTTATATAAGTGTGATATTAATTGTTGCTTTGATATGTGAAAGCCAAATTTTTCTTTGATTCATAGCCCAAAGAACGTAACTATAAAGTTACAGTATGTTGAATAAACATTCTTAAAGAAAGCCGTTTTTTACAACTTTGTCTCTGAATGGCATTGGTATATGGCCAATAATTGAATACCTCTCCAAGTAAGTATTCATTTTACTAATTTGCTATATTCATTTTACTAATTGGTTTAATATGTCCATGACAAATTAAATTAAGACATTAATTTTCAGCCAAAGGAAGCAACTAAATGTCTGAACTTATATTTTAAACTTCCTAATCATCCTTTTGATTTAGTCTGTCGTTGATGTAGTTTTTAGATAGGATTATTTCGATATTGCTTGTACTAATATAATTTGTGTATTATACCTTCAAATGGCATGTAGTTCATCTTAATAGATGCAAACTTTTTGATTTGTTTGGCCACAATCAACAAAATTTCATACTTGGTAAATTATATATTTATATGTACAGGCATATACCTAGATATACACTGTAAATAAATCGATCTGAATGAAATCCATTGGGTGACATTATTGAGCACATCTTCAGTCAATACTGGGCACCTTGACAACTCTACACATTTTTGATAATATTTGAACCGATAGTTTTACTCATAAAATTTTAGTTGTATTTACTCACACTAATAGAGGAAAATTTCACTCAATCGAGTGGACAGAAATTAATACATTATTGAGTGAAATTGAGTGAAAATAGGTCAATTGTTCCTTTTACCAGTAAACTCTTCTTCACATCGCTCTTCTTATCCATACTGCTCACAATTTCCGCCCCTCCCCCTTTGTTTTTTAGTATACTTTCTTAATTTTATTACTCGCCTTTTACACTGTTTAATATGACGTAACTATCTCCAGGAACTCGTACTAAATACGACATTAATTTGTTGAGCACCTAATTCACTCTCGTCTGTAAAAAGTTGTAAATTTCTAATTTTTGTTCGAATTAAAAGGGAGTGGTGAGTATTAGTATATACTAACTCACTATTTTGAGTAAGACCCCGCAAGAGTAAGGAAGGAGTTAACATAACTCGGATCTATCTCAAAAATAAAATTGCATTATATTTGTACATAAGTACAATTATTTTTTAGGAACACAGTAGAATCACTGCTTCTGAAAAAATGTAGCTTTAAGCAGATTATTTAAATTTTGCTATGTAAGCAAGGCAAAATTATAATAGGAACACTTTAGAACGAAAAAATTCACTTTGCGTGTATACCATGGTATGCAGAGGGTAAAAATAGCAGAAGAATTACGCCAAAATGTCTAAAACAAGTTATGGGTGACATGGTTAAAATAACTACTAAATGCTTAGAGATAGATAGACTGAATGTAAAAAGAGTGAAACCCACACTTTACATGTTTCATGAAATGCAGACAAAAAGTCAATACGACTAGACCTTATTTAGTCGAATTAAAGCAATCGCATAGTGCCCCAAAATATTCTGCAAACAAATTGTCCGTGGTCAAAACACCAAAACGGCTAAGCCCTTTTAAGACAGCCAAAACGCCCGTATATATGCCCCAAATATTTGGCAAACAAAAAATTTGCGGGCAAACTAGTTAAAACAACTACGATATAACCTAGTATAACTTTCCATTCAAGGGAGTGAAAACCACTTTCGACATGTCACATGGAATGCGGGCAAAAAACCAAGCGGCTACGCTCTATTAAAACGGTCAAAACGACCGTACTGCCCCAAATATTGGGCAAGGTAGTTAAAACAACTACAATATGGCTAGCTAGACTTTCCATTTAAGCGGAGTGAAAACCACTCTCTACATGTCATATGGAATGCGGGCAAAAAACCAAGCGGCTACGCCCTGTTAAGACGGTCAAAACGACCGCACTGCCCCAAATATTTGGCAAACAAAAAGCTTGCGGGCAAGGTATTTAAAACAACTACGATATAGCTAGCTAGACATTCCTTTTAAGCGGAGTGAAAACCACTCTCTACATGCCGCATGGAATACGGGCAAAAAAACAAAGAGGCTACGCCCTACTAAGACGGTTAAAACGACCGTATATTCTGCAAACAAATGTTCGCGTTCAAAATAATTAAAAACAACTACAATATGACCAGCTAGACTATCCACTTAAGGTGGAATTTGCATTTCAATTAGTCTAAAAACTCTGCTCTGCGTGTACCATAGTATACGAGCTAGTATTATCAAGTCGAGGGCGGCTAACAAAAAAATTTTTAATGAAATACCTTCTCATCTTCTGAAATGGATAATTAATATAATATTTCCCTTACGTGTGATTTATCTTGGATTCATGGAAATTCTTTTCTTTGGATAAATGCACTACACAAGGCACAATGATACACAAAACAAATAGGACCTGCACGTGCGGCACAAATAAATGAACTGGCTGGCTATCAATAAGTAGTAACGGACTGTTACGAAACACTTTTTTCCTTTAAACCTGTGCGCGCGTCATGTATAAGTGAGACCTACCAACATGAATCATAGAAGAACGGAGATGCGAAAAATAATTGCAGGTATCCTAATATCACATCACCAGGGCCGCCACCAGAAAAAAATGTAGGGGGGGTCAAAAAGTTTAAGTAAATTTACTAGTCTAGAATTGAAATAAAAACAACAAAAAAAAACAACATAACTTTAATTTCTAAATAATAATAATACACAAAAATTCAAAGTCAAAGCAAACGCAGGCTAGGAAACTGGCGCTGGCCGCTTCTTAACGCCCGCAGATATTGCCTTTGTGGGAGTTTTCGCACAACGCGTTTTTACATTACAATCAAATTACATTGCTTCATTTTAACGTTTTAAGTTAACGTGAAATCTTAAATTCCTAGGCGGTATTGTAAAATTTAAGAAATTAGACGAAAATTGTTTGATTTTAAGTCGTTTTTTTTAAATCCAGGGGGGGTCGACGGACCCCCCTTAACCCCCCCTGCCGGCGGCCCTGCACATCACTGGAACATTAAGTATTTAAACTATCTTTCAATATAAACCTGGGAACAACTCACACCTCTATTCTGGAACAACGTGCTGCTTGTGATAACTTATATATGTATAAGGTGACGTTAAAGAAACAACAGGTTAAATTCTATCACAAATTATATATTTTTATTTAGAAAATAACAGTACATTAAGTAGATCTGTAAAAAATATATGTACCTGTATTTGTTTATTAAAAATATATAATAATGTACAATTTAAATTAAAACTGCCTTAAAATTGCAGGTATCCTAATATCACATCACTGGAACATTAAGTACTTATTTAAACTATCTTTCAATATGAACCTGGGAACAACTCACACCTCTATTCTGGAAGAACGTGCTGCTTCTGATAACTTTCCCTAGCAATTCTTTTAAGTTGTTCAGCCAGTGATTTTCCAGATTCTGCTACCATTTTATAAAATACACTATTTTGTTTTTGTAGGAGAACATACGGATGATCAAATTCAACCATTGTACCGGAGTCCATCACTAATACTTTATCCGAGTCCATGATCGTATTTAAGCGATGGGCTACTGTTAATACTGTGCAATTTGCAAACTTCTTGCGGATGGTTTTCTGGATCAAGGCATCAGTTCTAGAAAGTAAAGTTTAATTTGAAAAAATAACACCGCAACTTTTTTCAGACGCTTCAGGAATTCAGTCATATAACAAAATACACCTTAACATAATTAAAACAAATAAACACGTTTAAATAAAAAATGTCTTTTTTTTAGTTGACATGCAAAGTTAGAGTAACTTACTGTGGGTCTACGTTTGCAGTAGCTTCATCCAACATAAGTATCTTATTATTTCTTATTATAGCTCTGGCTAAACAAATCAGTTGTCTCTGACCAACGCTGTAGTTGGCTCCTCTGTCCATCACTCTATTCTCTAATCTGTTGATTATATTGGACGGATCCTTCAATTCTACATCGTTTATCGCTCTATACAGTACATCGTCAGAGTATTCTTCAAACGGATCTAAATTATATCTTAAAGTTCCCGAGAATAACACAGGATCTTGAGGAATTATAGATATTTTTGATCTGAGATCTTTCAGAATGAGATCTTTGTTGTCGACTTCATCGATGTTTATTTCTCCTTCTACTACCGCCAGCCTAAATAAAGCTGAAATTAGGGATGATTTTCCAGCACCAGTTCTGCCCACAATTCCAATCTAAAACATAACAGCAATATAATTATCAGTTTTGGCACGTGTGTCTGGATAATTTTTTAAATTTAATTTGAAGTGTTGTTTATTCTCTAAAACATCGTCTTTTACGTGTTTTTAGTTGAAAATTAATTAATGCACAGACCAACAAAATTTAACTTTTTTTTGGAAGCAGAAATTTGAATATATATATTTCCGAATGATTTAGGTGCGCTGAATCCGAATCTGGCAGCAGAATTGCTCTATCACGTCAGGTTTTTGAGATATCCTAACCTAAAAGTGCAAAAGAACACTGTTTTTCGTCATATTTGAGGTTATGTAGTAATGTTATCTATTCTTTTTCAAAAAACTACCGCGCACCAAAATCCTTCGGGAATGCATATTAGTGTGTCTGCTTCTTGACCCTTGTTGACCTGTTTAATATTTTGGATCAGCGGGTACCTTTTCATTTGGTTTAATTATAAAATTTAGGTTCTTTAAAACCAGTGGACCAGTTTCGACATATTTCAGTTCCATGTGATTAAAAACGATTTGACCTTTGTCGGGCCAAGCTTTTGGCGGATTTTTCGGTGTATCTGGTTGCTTCTCTTGAGGTAGGTGTTTGTAATCTAAAACTCTTTCGACGGACATCAGTTGATTGGACACCTCTGCTGACTGACGCATGCCCCACTGCACTAAATAAGTTAGGGCTGCCGCTTGTGTAATCGCTAGGCCAACCTCTCCTCCATGCAGACCTAAGTCTAATAAAAGAAAATATCATTGAAGGAGAATAATTCGTGATGATATAATGTACATACTTTCGCTAAACGTAAGGAAGCTAAATGTAACGATTCCAACGAAGATGAAACACAGTATGTCTAACCAAAATCCAAACGCCGAACTTGCCGCAATAAACATGAACCAAGCACTTGTATGACAATCTTGGTGTTTATCGAATTCGTCTTTCAAAATAGCCTGTGCTCCAAATGCCCTTATTGTAGTTAATCCTTGTAGAGTTGCGTTTAAATGTGTAAAGACGGGGCTTCTCACTATAAAGAAACCTATTAATAAACTCTGTAAAGTTAGATACGTCACAGACTTACTAATTCCTTCTAATCGTTTAATATTTTTTGAGCATCTCAAGAAAACGTGCCTTAACAATAAAAAGAATATACCAGTGATTCCCACTAATATTAAAAATTGTGGATTCACAACAGCAACTAAAATTAGAGAACCAGCCATTAACAGCAGGATCTAAAAAAAGTAACGAGTAATTGAAACGACTTTGTTACCTAACGAATGTTATATACTTGAAGGGTATAATCTAGAACCCAAATGGTGTCGATTTAACAAAACTTGCTTAAACGAAAAATTTCGCAAAAAAAGTTACAGGGTGTTAAAGTTTCTTTTTTGTTTCTTGTTTTCTCCTTAACTCAGAACCCAGTTAACAGATTTGAGCAAAATTTGCTATTGCTTAGTGATTATGTTCCATAACATTGTAACTGCTGCGTGTGGAGTATAATTGAAACAGTTTTGCGGCCAACTCATGTTACTGCTGACAAACGACGAAAACTAATTTCGGGATTTTCTTCTACTCCTTCTAGAATTTGTTCTTCGTCTTGTACGCTTCTTTGAACGTACCTTCCATTTCGTGAATCAGACCGAAAGTTTCCAGTTTCTCTTAATCTGATTAATAAAGAAGCAAACAATGTATGAGAAGGCTGTCTGCGATTCGGATAAAGTTCTTCATATGTTCCTTTAGCAGCTCGTCCACTAAAATGTTCCTGCATATATACCACTACCATGTCTCTCATTTCATAATTCGTAAATTCATTGTGACGAGGCATTTTTAGAAACACATTTATGCAAAATACAGACTTAACAGTGACTTATCGAAATTGCCACGTTGTTATGGATACGTAGTTATTTCCAGAAAATATGAAGTATGTGTTAATAAATATTTTCTGTAATATCTTCATAATCGAGCATAATTTCGACTTTTAATGGTATACATTTTTGTGTAGAATAAAATTCTCTTCCTACTTCTGAAAGTAGCGTGTAACAATTTAAACATACAAAAAAGTTACAGAAGAATATTCATAAATTGTTGTAGTAAAATGAACGCCCTGTATGATTTAACCTAATAGGAACATAATGACTGCACACTTCATAAAGAGAAGCTAAGCAATAGCAAATTTTGATTAAATTGGTTAACTGGGTTCTGAGTTCATGAGAAAACAAGAAACAAAAAGGAGACTTTAACACCCTGTAACATTTTTGCGAAATTTTTCGTTTAAGCAAGCTTGGTTAAATCGACACCAATTGGGTTCTAGATTATACTCTTTTGTTAAGTTATAGCTTGTATAACATGTATGCTAACCTGTCCAGCATCGAGAATAGCTTTTGGTAAAGCTTCATCTACGGCACCCATATCTTTAGAAAATCTGTTTAGGATACGACCACTGGGATTCGTGTCAAAAAATCTCATGGTCGTACCAATTACACTGCGGAACATCATATTATGTAAATTTTGCGAACTTATCATAGCTAGTTTGTAAAAGAGCACAGATCTTAATAAGGCTGTAACAAAAAGAGCAACTATCAATCCTCCATAAATGTAAACACAAGTTTCTGTTGACCACACAATAGATGGTGCAATGGTAATTTCGTCTGTTCCATTTTTGGGAAGAGAAACATTTCTAAACTCTTCAATGTTAACCCAGAAACTAACAAAATAGTCCACTGTACTCGCCAATAACTGTGCCAAGACATATAATACTAAAACTATGGACACGAAACAGACATTTCCACCAGCAAGAAAATATTTCCAGATAAGAGATCCATGAACTTTGCCTTTAGATGATACTTCTTGCATATCTTTGATCTTTATTTCTTCATCCGGTTCCTCTTCCACATTTTCTTCTAAGAGTATGCTGTCTGGTAGGCTTAATTCGCTTGCAGCACTGGTCAGAGATGAGTTTCTACTCTAAAAAAAAAAGATACTGTATTTTATTACGAATTTACTTTCATTATTTTTTAAAATCAATATTTATATAGTATAGTGCGCTTACTTTTATGGACATTTTTCTTAAAATCTTCACAGTGTCAATTTGTTTCTGCTTTTCTTCACTAGTTAGTTCAGGTTCGGAAGTAAGTAATTTGGCATACAAGTTATCACTTTCAGATAAATATCTGAATGTACCTTCATTTTCTACCTTTCCCTGTAAATAATGTTCTTTGTGTTCAAATATCTACAACATATAACTAATTGCTTTCAGACTTACGTGATTAAGAATTAGAATGTGGTCAGCATCTTTTAAATAATGTACTTGGTGTGTTACCAGAATCCTAGTTTTATTAACTAAGTACCCATTAATGCATTCATCGTATAAGTGCTTCGACACGTGGATGTCCACAGCGGATAGAGGATCATCTAATAAATAAATATCTGCATCTCGGTAAACAGCTCGGGCCAGATTTATCCTAGCTTTTTGTCCACCACTTAAAGAAGCTCCTCTGTCGCCGACGATTGTTAGATCACCGTCTGGGAATTGTTTAAAATCCTTTTCTAAGTCACATGCACGGATAACGTCGAGGTAACGCTTCTTATCATATCCCGCGCCAAAGAGAATGTTTTGCCGGACAGTAGCCGCAAATACCCAAGGTTCTTGTGATGCGTAGGATATAGTTCCATGTATTTTTATGTCTCCAGTGACTACTTCTAGTTCGCCTGAAAAAAAAAAAACGATAGAGAATGTAGTAATGTTCTCTTAACTGAAGAAGGAGAACTATGTATAGAGTTTAAGGCAATTCACGAAACAAAAAGGCAATTTTGTAATAAATCATTATTAGAATTTTGGACCGGACTCTATGGTCAATGTTCTGCTTTTCATGTTTTTCACATCAAAGAGATCTTGCAGAACAGATCCAAAAAAGCCATTAATTTGATTTTTTTTTTTCATTTCTATACAGGGTGTCCCACCAGGAAGTGCGTCGATCGATATCTAGGAAAGTACAGCTCCGAAAAATTTGAAAATTTAGCAACATGGCAATGTCCCGGTTATACCGGAAGTCGACACCAACTTCGTTATTTTAAATGGGATACCCTATATATTATTGCATTTTCGGATTCTACGTGAAAATTGAGGGCCACTTTATTAAATAGTCCCTATACCTAGGAGTTATAGAATTTGAGATATTAATTTTTAAAGAAAAAATTTGACAGATGCGAGGGTCCGCAGAGATGCTAGTAACTCTTTTCAGGAGCGTAATATCAAGCGGATTGGTGGTACCTGTAAAGGGCATAGATAACACTACATTATGGTATATCAACAAATTAAAACATTTAATACTAGGTGTCTTATTTTTGGTGTTACATTTTGATAATTTCAAAGAGCAGGACCCTCGCATCTGTCAATTTTTTTAAAAATTAATATCTCAAAATTTATAACTCCTAGGTATAGGAATTTAATAAAGTGACCCTCAAATTTTACGTAGAATCCAAAAATGCAATAATATATAGGGTATTGATGTCGACTTCTGGTATAATCGTAAGTGCTGAAGAGTTTTAGATATTTTAGTTTGTTCGCCCTTGGGACATTGCCATGTTGCAAATTTTCAAATTTTTCGGAGCAGTACTTTCCTAGATATCGATAGACGCAGTTCTCGGTGGGACATCCTGTATATCAACAGTAATAATAAGAATTTTCTCTTACTGTTTTGATCTCAATAAGTAGTAAATACTGTTTCATCTTTTTTAACGCCTCCCTGCTTCACAAATTGAGAAGCACTGTTTCAATCCTTCTACCTTTGGAAATGATGGGATGTGGAGATAATAGTACTTACCTAAAATAGTTTGCAGAAGGGAACTTTTGCCACTTCCTACAGGTCCAATAATTCCTATCAACCTGCCTTTGGGAACGCTTAAACTAATGTTAGCTAGAACGGATTCAGTTGAAGACTCGTGCCATTTCACCGTGAGTTGTTTCAAACTAATAGCATTTTTATCAATAATGTAACTGGAATTATTATTTTGTGAGAAAGAGACAGGTACAAACTCTTCATTTTTCATAAATTCTTCTAATCTTTTAATAGTTACAAATAATTCTGCCAATTCGGAAATACCTCTGACGAACATCGCAGACATTGTTTGAGATAGGATGTTGAAGTAAGTCATGAACACAAATACCTAAAAGAACATAATTTAAAAAATGAGTGAATATAATATGTCGATATGTCATATTAAGGATGTAACTGAAGTTGTTAAATCAATTATCTTTTTCATATATTTACTGTTTTTGTTATTTTGTACAAAAGAAAGTATAAAAGGCTAAAGGAAAACGAGTAGGCTATTTTTGAACATTTTTCCATTATCGATTTTCTACTGGTTATTTTTAAAATTTAATTGTTCGGGAGTATTATTACTTTTTATCAAACCCAGTTACCATTATGTATGTTTTTAGTCACAAAAATTGAATAATTCCAAATATTTAGAATTTTCACCATCAAGAACGGCGGCGACAACATTTTTCACATTAAGGCGATGTTTCGAATTATGTTAGCTGTGTCCTGTCCAAACTTGGTTAGTGCAACTCTCTCGGTTTCGAAAATTTAACACCTATATATGTTTTCAACCACGAAATTTGATTAATTCCAAATATTTCGAATTTTCACCACCAAGAACGGCGGTGACAACATTTTTCACATTAAGGCGATGTTTCGAATTGTGTTAGCTGTGTTCTGTCCAAACTTGGTTAGTGCAACCCTCTCGGTTTCGAAAATTTAACACATATATGTTTTCAGCCACGAAATTTGGTTAATTCCAAATATTTCGAATTTTCACCACCAAGAACGGCGGTGACAGCATTTTTCACATTAAGGCGATGTTTCGAATTGTGTTAGCTGTGTCCTGTCTAAACTCTCTCGGTTTCGAAAATTTAACACCTATGTTTTCAGCCACGAAATTTGATTAATTCCAAATATTTCGAATTTTCATTACTAAGAAAGGCGGTGACAACATTTTTCGAAGTAAGGCTATTTTTCGCATTGTGTTAGCCTTGTCCTGTCCAAATTTGGTTAGTGCAGCTCTCTTGGTTTAGAAAATTCAATGCTATGTAAATTTTCAGCCACGAAATTAGATTAATTCCAAATATTTCGAAATTTTAACCACCAAGAACGGCGGTGTCAACATTTTTCACAGCAAGGCGATGTTTCGTATTGTGTTAGCTGTGTCCTATCCAAATTTGGTTAGTGCAGCTCTTTCGGTTTCGGAAGCTTAATACCTATGTATGTTTTCAGCCACGAAAATTTAATAATTTCAAATATTTCGAATTTTCACCACCAAGAACGGCGGTGACAACAATATTCACAGTAAGGCGATGTTTCGCATTGTGTTAGCTATGTCTTGTCCAAATTTGGACGAGTTTATATATATGCATGTATATCACTTTTTGTTTGTAAGAAAGTTTTTGAAAAATTAGTAGTTGTTAATAGAAAAACCTTACTGCAAGTCAGTATCTCAAATTATAAAATAGCCGACAATCTATTAAATTTGGTGAGAATTATTTTCCCAATTCAGTGATCCCATTGACAAAAGAAGAAAACTGCTTCCACGTCGTACTAATTGATTAGTGAACTAATGCATTGTCGAAATTACTAAGATTGAGATACTATTTGATGGTTCAAATAGAAATTAATTCGATGTCCACTGAAAGACGAAAATTTAGAAGGTGAAGAGCGATTACTATAAATGTTTCTTTTTGCGATTGCTAATAGTACTTATTTTTAACTATTTGGGATAGTAAACGGTGGTTCTGACGTACTTGTTTGGGCGTGTCTTATCAACACACAAGTTCCAAAGTAAGCAGGACTCAAAAATAGCTAATTCTAGTGAGGCCATCTGTTGGCGTCGGAAAGGTAGATCCTACACTGATGTACTGTCAAAATTTCATGACATTTGGACGAATAGAAGCGGAGTTATTGCGTCAGAAGTGAGAGCATGTTTGTATCACAAAGAGCTAATATTAAGTATTGTTTTAAACTTGGTAAAACTTTATCGAAACATTTCAATTAATGAACGAAGTTTATGGTGTTTATTGTTTATCAAGATGTTGGCCAACCGTCCTTGATTACCACAGATTCCATCAAAACTGTGCAATTCATGGAATTGGAACGGAGCATCGCAAAAATATCAATTTATCGCATTTTGGCCGAATATTTGGGCTACCGAAAAGTATGTGTACGGTTTGTTCCGCACAAGTTGACTGGCGACGAAAAATTACTCAAAATTCAACATTCGGAAGACATCATCAAGGAGGCCAAAAAGGACAACAACTTCTTTTACAACATTGTGAGTAGTGATGAAACGTGATTTGATATGATTCAGAAACCCAGCGCCAAGGTACTGAGGGGAAGGCGCCAGATGAACCAAAACCCAAAAAATCTCGTTTGGAGAAATCAATGTTGATTTGCTTTTACGATTCTAAGTGAATTGTCCATCGGGCCAAACCGTTAATGCATAATTCTATTTTGGCGTTTTAAAGCGTTTGCTGCATCATATTCGTCCAGAATACCGCGTAGACGGAAGTTGGTGTTCGTTGCATGATAATACGCCATCTCATCAATCGACACTAAAAATCGTATTTTAACTCTCAATCGCTCCCCATATTCACCTGATTTGACACAGTGAAACTATTAACCTTTTCGAAAAAATGCATTTGCCGATTAAGGGAAAGCGTTTTATGGACGTAGAAGCCATTCAAAAGACTATTGAGTTAGAAGGGAACTATTCTGAATAAAATAAATCATTTTGCAAAAAACTGTTTGTTCTTGATTTTGAGAAGTCCTGTTTACTTTGAAAGGCATCTTGTAGTTTGTTGCATACCACAAGATATGTATAGTTATTTTAACAACCTAGTCCGTGAAATTATATGTTTGAAGACATTTGGGGCATTATACGATCATATTCATTGCTTAATATGGTGTAATTTCTGGAACATATTCCATGGAATATGTAAAAAGTGGTTTTCCTGATGGAACATAGAAATAATGCGGTAAAAATGCATTACATGTTTATCTCGATGGCCTTGCTTAGACATTAGGAACCTTCCATTCTTTATAAAACAGTCTGTACAGACTAACAGATTTGGTAAAGGGAAAAGCACTGATACATACAATATACAATAAAATTAAAAATACAATAAACAATTGATATGAATGAATAAAAAATACTACTTACTTTGGCGGCTGTGATCTGTTGGTCAGTTAATGCCATTGTTAACAAAGTGCAGAAGAGGGCCACTCTCGTGGTAAATAAATTGAAGGTCATATACAGTGCTCTAACGTAAGAAGACTTCATAACAACTTTAAGTTCAGCCTTTCTTGCAAATTTTATTATTTTCTCGAATGGTTTCTCCCAAGCGTACATTTTGATCACTTGAACTCCAGAAATTATTTCGTCCATTAATCTTATTCTTTCATCTGTTTTCATAGCTGTTTGTTTTCTGTATACAGCAGACAGTTTGCCAGTGTAACCTGAAATATTAAATTAAATTTGGGTGTTTTCAAAGCTATAGCTTTAACTGTTACTTCAAACTGAATAGCGGCAAAATGTTCGTACTATGTAATCTCTGGAGATTTTGAGCTGTTAGTTATTGAATGTTAAAAACTTATTATTTCACCTTGAAGTGGAACTACGAGGAAGACCGGTATAATCCCCAAAACTCCTGCATATCCAGCTTCGGTATACAGGAAATACGTCACAATTAATGCTGAGGTTGGGGCTACCCACATGTGGTGTATAAGGAAGGAAACAAGGTCGAATCTACTAACATCGTTTGAAATCAAATTTACTATCTTTCCAGATGCGGTGTCTCCGAGGGCGGTCTTACTTAATCTCAATGCCTGAAATTAAAAAATGACACTATAATACGATTTTAACTCATTAGTAAATTATATCAATAACGTTGGTAGAAGAAAATTTAAACTATACACAAAATTAATGGGTTTAATACTTCAAAAATAATATACCTCCCGTACCGTACAGTTCTGATTATAATTATATACCTATTCTAACGTTTGACATACAGAAATTCAAATACGGTATAACTTTTATGACAAGCTTGTAGGTGAAACGTGGATATATTACCTAAAAGTTAAGGACTTGAATGAAAGTACTGAAAGTGATGTCATTGAGCAGCAATATTACTTTCTTTTTTATAATATTTTTCATTGTTTATCTCATCAAATTATGAAAATAAGTTTTCCAAAATATTTACTATAGGATAACTGGGAGATTAATAATTTTATTGTTTTTTTACAGCTTTTCTATTTTTATTTTTTTTTAGTCTGTTACACAAACACACTTAATATAAGATACATAACCTGCCTCTATCATAAAATATAATACAATGAAATGCCATTAACCAATGACAACACACTTTTTTATACTTATCTTCTTATTTCATTTAATACCAAGGGCGCTAAAATTTAAATATTATTAATAAATGCTTACTACATGCTTATATACAGGGTGGCCCAATTAAAACAGTCCACCTGAAATATTTCCACACAAACAGGTCGATTTTGCTTTCAAGGGGGACATCTTTTGGTCATAAATTCATGGATATAGGGTCATCCCCCTTAAAGGGGTGGCGACCCCTTCAAGAATCTTAAATGGCACCGAGGCGTTAAGTGGCACATCACTTTAAAGGTATGTAATATAATTCTCTTTACAAACATGCTGAAATTTTTTGTGTTGCCTTAAAATTAATGTAAAAAATCTGTTGGAAGTGGCGATGAAATAAATAGAAAAAAAAGTTTTAATTAATTAAGTGTTCAAATTTCGACCCATTTACTTCCATATAGTAATAAAACCTTTGTTCAACATTTTCCCGAACATTTTGTAGCATTTAAGGGGTTATTTCATCACATGCTACCGCAATTCGATGGCGAAGATCTTCTAAAGAGATAAGTTTCGCTTTATAAATAACACTTTTTAAATGACCCTATAACAAAAAGTCCAATGGTGTTAAATCAGGCGATCTTGTGGGCCATTCAATGAAACCCCTTCTACCATCTAGTGTTCGGGAAAATGTTGATTCAAAAAGTCATGTTTAGCAGCTGCATAGTGTGTGAAAAAATACATAATTCTCTGGGATCTGATCGTCGTTTTCAAGAATCTCCACAATACGAGAGTAGATGAAGACTTGAAGCAAATTGAGGTAGGATTTACCCGTCAAGTTATCAGGTAAAAAAAATGGACCAACAATATTATTTCCCAAAATCCCAGCCCATACATTCAACTTTTCTGTGAATGCTGTACTCTGATAACTTCAGGATTTGAATTACGCCAGCATCTGCAATTATGTCTGATGATGTAACCTTTAAGAAAGAATGTGCATTCGTCAGAAAAGCAAATACAATATAAAAAATGGGGTTGTTCAATTTTTTTTCACTCATCTGTTCACGGCGATCTGGATCATCTTCATTGAGCTCTTGCACGAGATGAATCTTATAGGGATGAAATTGATGCTTTTTCAAGATCCTCATAGGACTACTACGTGGAATTGCCTCTAATTTTCTGGTGCTTGAAGTGGGATTCAGTTCAACATGTGCCTTTCAATAAAATTCTTGCAGTTGTTAAATAGAGAGTGGCAATTTCAATTCTGTCGGCAGTGGTGTAAACCATGATAATTTGAATCATTTACTTCAAAATAGCGAATAATAACAAATCAATGGATTTTAGTACCTAGACAATGATGTAAAATCGGAACAAAACTACATGTAAATTTCTAAGAAAACCCATCACCTTATCAAGACTTCGATTATAAACCTCACTCTTTACACTTTCATTACCCGGTGAGTTTGCTGAAATTAGTTCGGATATTAGAAATAGACACAAAAATCCACGTCAGAGCTTGGCGGAGTTATCCCAAAGCGGATCCGAATATCGACTCTAGTTTCCATCGGACAAGTTACCAATACCAAGACAATGTTTCTGATCAGTACGAAGTACAATTTCATGCATTCATTAGCATTATACATATTTCATATGTATAATGCTAATGTAATTTTATTATTTATAAAAATGTGTTTAATTCACCAATAACTAAACATTAAAAGAAAAATAAACATGGCGACATATGAATAATGCCGATATTGTATGAAGATTTCATAGGAAAATAACTTTTATTCATACTGTTATCATAGCGAACCAATCCTTGGAAGCTCAAACGGATTTTATGAATATGAGTTTCATGAGTGGCTGTTGGAGTGTATCTGACAATATCTGCAATTTACGAATTATTTTTTGGACGGATGAGACTGTTTTTACAAAGAATTGTTTATACTTAGATATGTCTCTAATGCAATGAGCATACCTTCAAAGATTTTTATAAGGTGTGTGTGTTTATGACCATAAGCAAATGAAATCCATAAATAGTGCGTCCATAGAGGTCTATCACGTAAGTATTTCTTATTTTATTTCATTTCTTTTTGAACTTATGATCAATTTATTTTTGTTATATTCAAATAAACAACTGTGTATAAAGATTTACTTAATAATTTAATATTTATTTATATTAATTGCACCTATTCTAAGTCTACTTTCTCATTTGAGGTTACTTACTTTTCTATAAATCAGGGCACAACACGCCGCTCGTACTTTCATTCCATAGTGGAACGCCCTCATTATATATTGATTTATTAATAATGCACTAAGGGCATTTAATGCTACGACGGCACCGGCATACCAAAAGGCTTCAGTCTTAGTAACTGATGGTTCTGGTTTGAAATATTCCAGAAGCCTCCCGAGCATCAGGGGTTGGCTTAGGCGAACGAATATATCCATACATACTAAAATCACTCCTAAACATAAGTACTCTGGCCAGAAGGTAGCTACTAATGCTTTGAGAAGGCTTGGATTCCTGTTGTACTTCTTTGCTGTCTCGGAGTGTATATTCCATTTTCTGTAACAAAGAATATTATTAAAATCAGGTTTTTGGTTTCAACAGTTTATGATTCAAAATAACTGACCACTTCAGTCACAAGAAAAGATAACGCAGATATGTTGTTAGGTGACTATTTAGAACAGTCATATTACTGTACAAAATTCAGAACCAAAACAAACTTATGGGTAGATTTAATATTTGAAAGGGAAACTGGTAGTTCAGCAATTGAATATATTTTTTTTCTGATGACGCAGTAATATTATAATATTAATATCAACTGTAAGGAGTTATTTATCGCCTAATAAACGCTTTATGTAGGCTCCTAAATTCTTAAAATGTTTCTTAGAGCGGGTGTAAAATTATATTAATTTTTTCGATTTCTTATCTTTAAAACATAGACCATATTGATATTATATTGAAATTATAACTCCCTAATTTTAGAACTGCTTCTTTTGTCAGGACACATAAAAGCACAAGTGCAAATGTTGAGAATTTCCAACTCAGATCTAGTACCTGCTCTAATGCCACAACTGTTTGAACACTTCAAGAACTGATTCTGAAAAAAAAAAACGAAACGTAGATTTATCTTATTAGAAGTTGGTTCTGAAAAAAACAAAACGGTGTTTGTTATAGAACTCCTTAAGGTGCGAATGAAAACAAAGCTATTGATTCTGTACTTGGATATGGTATTTGCATTATAACTCTGAATTAGTGTCACTTAAAATATTTAAGAGCTTTTCTCACCCTATTATATTTTTCCTCAGATGATTTTTTGGGAAGTAATTTAAGCTAAAATCGTAATAGATTACAAAAAATTGTATTAATTCGTTCCACTGCAAATCCTATTGCACATAACGGAAACAATACTCAAATTAATATTTATGTAACAAATTAAGTACCTACATCGTTTATAAGGACAAAATGAAGTAGTGGAAGACATAGAGTGTTGGCCCTCATTTTTCTGCTAAAAGATCTATTTATAAGAGATACTGTGAGTCAAGGTCACATTGAAAAAAGGTCAAATTGAAGTTAATTTTGTACTTTGAACGTTCTATTGCAGTCGTTAGGACGCTGGCAAGATAATGTATACATTTAGAAAATTATTTCTTTGTACCCAAACCGCTCATTTAATCAAAATTTTACAAGAGGCCAAAAAACTTCCAAATGGTATCACCTATCAAATAACAAATAGTTGTTATTGTCCAAAAGAGGAAAAAGTTATGAACGGATGTTCTCACCATACATCAAAATCGAATAATACGTATTCGAGTTATTTACAAAATACAAAAAATTTTCACGAACTTTAAGACCATTTAGCGACCAAACGAACGATTCCGGACTCGATTCCGGATATAGATGAATTAGCCTAAATCTGCCTATTTTAAGTCCACGAATCTGTGGTCTTCCGTTAAACACGTTATCCTGGGACACCCTGTATAATTTAATTTTGTCTTTAAATCCGTCAACTTTTATTACTTGATATATAAACACTTTATTTGCAAGAGCTTTTTGCTATCGTATCTTTTAAATACATTGGTGAATATGCAAAACGATTAAGCTCCCTACACATTTTTGAAACGGCCAGCGGACGTAGAACCCGACAATTCGGTTCATCTCGCTCATCTTTATTAAAAATGCATAAATTTTTCCATGAACATGAACCTACACAAAAAATTGTATGTATTTTAGAGAAATTTTGTACATGTTCATATTTATGTTATATTTATGGAACAAGAAATAGTTCGTCTATTTCCTACCGAAACTGGATTTATTTTTTAATTTAGGAAAAAGGTTCCATCTAAAAGTTATAAAGTGTTTTTAAAAGTTTTTTTTTTAAATGTAACATCCTGTCTAGTATTATATGTTTGTAACTGGCTATGGGGAAAACAAATTTATATAGTCAAAACTTTTTGCTTTTTAAGTATGACAAATTATATCTTCGGAAACCGTTAAACAACCTCTTTTTAACTGGACCATGTTCAACTATAGTTTCTCTAGTGGTTTAATGAAAGTTTCGAATTCAATGTGCAATTCTAAGTTCCGGAATCTAGCTTTATAATTTTTTTTTCAACACTTAAAACATTTTTAGGATGTTGTAGGCCATACTCCGTATTTCCCTTATCCTTCTTAAATTCAGAAATATAAAGGGAATGAATAATATTTTCTGATGTGGACAGATTATTTCTCCTTAAAATTAGCAGAAAAAATACATTTTATTAACGTTTGGTTTGTTTACGTCGCACATTCCTAGAAAACATTTGTGTGTGAAAATTGTTTGAAGATCTTGAGTAAGCTTGACAGAGAAATGAAATATTCGATAAATACCTTGATTTTTTATACTTTTTTTAACTCAATGAATGTTTAGGAACGAAATGTTTTCGTTTAAATTATCATATGCAATATCTTGCACCTAGGGTATCTGTTAGGAGGATATTATACGAAATAAATTTGATTGACATGAACCTTGCTAATAATTTTTTTATTGTTAAACCCTAATTATATTATTATTCAATTAAGCTGTTTGTTCAAAGATACCACAATTCTATGTTATATAAATCTGCAATAATCTACTGTTTATTTTACAATACTAAATTACTGTATTTATGAAAATTAGCAATTACTAAAATCTAACATGTAATTATTGTTTTATTTTTGCTGTAATGTATAAATATGTATAATTATTTTAAAAGTGGATAACAATGAATTCTATCTAGTAGGTATTAATGGTCGAATAATTTCCAGACTGGTTGTTACGTCGCCGTCGTCCGTTTATATTTCCTGGCGTTTCGAGAGACATATTGCTATTCTTCTCCTTACTAGGAACTGATGTTTGAACATTATTTAATAACAGGTACAATGTAACAATTTATTTTAAATGAGTCAAACAGTAGAACATTTACTTAGAGTAATGATAGGTTCACAATAGGAATTACATGTCGTCTTATAAATGTTGGATCGTCAGTTAAAGCTTCACATATTTCAGGAAACATATTTGAAATATTTGTTACGAGATTCTCTGGAGATAATTTATCTCTATTTTTTTATTTATCAACTCCTCGTACGAATATTCTCAAATACTCTCCTATATATAAAATGTGCAGTTACTATAATAACCATCAAGAGTCTTTGGACCTATTTCCAAACGTATCAACTAATAATAATCATTGAGTGAACATGCATTATATTCATGATGATTTAGGTTAAGTATATTAGTAGGTATACATCTTTTATTTTGTATTATGCTATTTAGTTATTACATGTAGTGTATTTTTCTGTTTTTACCCATCCTGTAAATGTAATTTTCTGTCGGGTGGTGTATAAAATAAAATAAATTAAAATAATTAGCTTTTGAAAATAGTCTATATCTAAAGTAATACGAAAGGTAACAGCTATTTTCTTTTGCTAGTGAAACTTCAACTGTTTGTTTTTCATGTCGTCATTTCTAAATTAACACTAATTAAATTTTTGAAAGTAATTTTTTGCTTTGTGCTAGTGCATCAAGTTTGAGATATGTGCAGTGTTGCCAGAGTAGGAAAGCAAAATGTCGCTACCGATTGATATGAAAAGTCGCAACACTTCGTAATGTTCGAAGCAGGGAATTGTCAAATATGGGGCTTTCTTTCATTCAACTTGTGGATTCATCGGTGAATTAAAATACTTACCTTATTAAATAAAATGTTATTTTTTTTTTTCAGAACAAACCGAAATATACTTTATTAGTTTGTATGTAACAAAAAATAAACAAAGTAAACTGTTATTACTTTAAAAAATGTAACCAAAAATAAACAAATTAATCTGATTCAATCAATCACTTTTTCCATTACTTTTGCATGCTTATAAATATTGCACATTTTTTAAAAATGTGTTTGAGTTATATGTTAAGCAACAGTCTCTATTTCTTTTTAAATCTAGCTTAACTGTCAATATATCATTTAACAGATCTGTACTCGTTTTATTTCTTTTTTTTTGTTTTGTTTCGTTTTTACCTCTAACATAGGTAACAGAATACTCTTTCAACATCTGCATTTCCATGAGGAATAATTAAAATGGCTGTAACAATTTTGGTTATATTTTGAAATAGTAGCTCGTAGCAGGACACGTATCACATATTACAATGTAACAGAAATTATATAATATGTTCTGGCGTCGTGCTTCGGAAAGCCCCGAGATTCGACGTGTTGCGTTCAGAATTGGACTCTTGAGATAGTAATTGTAACGTCATTTGTTCATATATTATTGTATAAAACGTAAAAATAGTATACTTATAAGAAATAACTGTTTTAACTTTACTATTTAATAACAAATAATTTACTAAAATTAAAAGTCGACAAAAATGTGCTTTCTTTGAAAAGTCGCTATCATGTTCTAATGAAGGTAAAAAGTCGTCATTTTGGCGACATGTCTCCATTAATGGCAACACTTTAGCATTAAGGTGGCAGCTTCTGATTTCACATGCTAAAGCTTATACCAGATTAAGTCTTACGACATGGTCACGCGAATGATTTTCTCATTTGAATATATCACTTTCTTTTGTATTCCCTAATATTGCTATTTATTTTGATGTATACATTTGATAATTAACACACGAAAATATTGCTCGTGAATAATGTTCACCACTTTGCTTACTAAATATTACTAAGTAAACATAATTAGATAACGATGATTGCGTTGATATAAACGGGTTTTCAGGAAAATAGCATGAAAACTTTTGTAAGCACATGTTTGTGTAGGTTTTAGTCGAGTAGGTTAAAAAAATTAAATGTCTAGAGATATTTCAGATTAAACTGTCTTCAGCTTTTACTGAAAAATAATAATGTGCAATTTCATTATCAGGATCTTATATTTTGAAATCGATACAGATGAATAAAATTTATTTTCTATTTTCTATGTCTACTTATGCAGTAAGTAAACTAGATGTATATATATATATATATATATATATACATCTAGTTTACTTACTGCATAAGTAGACATNATATATATATCACATATTGCAAAGTGATAAATCTTGGTAAAATAAACGATAAACATATAGGGTGATTTAGAACTTATCCATTAAAAATAAAAAAGAATAAAAAAGGGCAATTCGAAAATTATTTAAAAATCCTCTTCTGCACGGCACTGGAAACTAGTCCACTGTAAAACCTGAACTTACGCAAGGCAAAGCATGCAGCATGAACGAACAAAAAATTCAAATGATTTCTTTCCCAAGGAAAGAAATCAATAAAATTTTATAACGCCTATTTTATACCAGCAAATTCAACTGCTTTTGTCGCTATTGTTATTATTAATTAATAAAATTTGTGGTTTTAACTAATAAAATTTTTTCCACCGACGTATAAACAAATTTGGTCCCGTCTTAACTAGTTTCTACGAACTGACACAAATGTTGCCTTGCTTCACCATAACACAAATGTTGTCTTGCTTGCACAATAAATTAAAATGATATCCGAGTTGCTATACACGTAAGCCATTTTTGACACTTGAAAAGCTAATATAAACGCTATCGCAACAACGATAATACTAAAATTGGATTTCAGTATTTGAAATCGCCTGGGGCCACGTTTATTATTTTTTTTCTCGGAAACTAAGGACTTTACAAATATTTTTTTTATTATTTTTTCATTTTTCATGGCGTATCTATTCTCAAATTTGATTGGATAAGTTGTAAATCATCGTATATATCTGGATTCTACTCACCTCTCTAACCTATCGCCTAATAACATACTCCGGTCGCTACGGAGTGGATTGTACAAATCATCTACATCTAAAGTTTTTCGGTAACCCTTCTTGAACATACCAATCGTGTACCTGAAACCAATGTCTTTGGATTATTTGATTTCAAAACTCCTTATCTTACAACCATTGTAGATATACAAAAATAAATAAATAAATAAATAAAAATATCTCCAAATGAAGTCTTAAGTAGACTTTACCAATGTTTAGAAATATTTTTGTCGTTCGTGTATTTCAAGTCAAAATGTCTTGAACCGTAAAATTGCGTACCGCCTTAAAACTTGTAATATTTACGTCGGATTGCATAATCATACTAAATTTTGTATAGAAACAGAGATTTCTTGAAAAAACTATTTTTGGAGTAAAACTTTAGACCTCTTTAAAATGTTTCTCGGCAGAAAATAAAATATACGTATCTCGTATTTTTTTTGTCTTCTACATCATAGTAAGGTTTCATTGAAATCGGTGACTGACACTTCGATAATCTGCCTTGTAAGTAAACCTAAGTGAGCTTCCCGTAGGTTTAAAACTAAAAGACACTTTCTCTTTCTTTTTTCCCTTCTTCTAGTGGTTGGCTCTAATCAAGTCCCATAGTACCGCACCCTCATCAGGCTTACTGTGCGTCCACTACGAAAGGGCTTTCGCAGGAGCGTCATTCTACTTGGAAATGCAAATCCTGGGCACTCGCCCAGGATATGCAGAGAAGTTCGACAAAAATTTACGTTAAGGATTTTTTATCGTATATGGACAAAAAATAATGTGCAATGCAGCTGAGACATAATTAAAAAAGACGTAGGTTTATCTGTTAAATGAATAGGAAAATTTTAAAAGCTAAATAGCGAGTACTTAAAATTAAAATTAATAGCTGACATTTGCTGAGAAATTTTTTCCAATGTTTACAACAATATTTCGTCAATGGTGCGAAAAAAATTACGTTTCAAACGACACAACGAAATGTAAAACACCATACAGATAATTCAGCCAGCATTTTGCGGTATGCAGTGCACCGTAAAGAAATTCTAATTATAACCGTCCACACACTCGTACGAGTCGATAGCATCCTGCCGAGTCCTATTCATAAAATTAAATCATTCGAGAAATAATGTACCCTTACTTACGCGAAGAAAATGACTGATAGTGGATTGGCTGAATCCCTTGGATTGGGATTGACGTTTTCCTTGGTGATATCCATGGCTGTGTGAACGGAAAATATGAGCAACCACCATTGACTTCGCTAAGTGCTCCTGGATATATACACACACACTCACTTCACAGTTTTTTTTATTTGGCACAGCAGCGCAAACTATGATATTCAAGGCTTGTTTATTTTAACTCATAATTTGTGCCCGAATTAGTTCTGCTTCGCTTTGCTGGGTCTAATAGCAAATGTGTATAATTTCAGTCTTCAGTCTGCGGAATACATAAAAACATTATGATCTTTGGAAGAACATCTTTAGAGGCAGTTACGGATAGTGGGTTTCCCTTCAATAATTTTAATGCATAGTTTCAGCTTGGCTGTTACACGGCAATAAAAATTTTTCGCTACAAGTGCAGCGTGCTTTTCCAAATCTGAAACAAAGAACGAAAATGATTAAAACCGACCTATGTTACTGGAAAGGAGAAGGAGACAATACACATCTGTTGACAACCATATAGCAAATATGAGATGTCCTTTCGATGATACATTTTTATTACGAAACGTTTGTTTAATTACACATCTAGATTTTAAGTGTTGTCTGTCCACTCTAGAACACTGATTATTTTCTAGATAATGATCTTGCGATGTTCGTTTTGTGACTAATTTTATTTGCGAAGATTGCTGGCGCCACTGACACCGTGCGCCGTTGCTCGAGCGCTATTTCCAAGAGGACTCTTTTGTGACTAACCAGTTTTCGGCGTCGGCGGCTCGACGGCCGGCGGCGGTAAGTGACGTTACAGGGGCATGCTCTATTCAGTTAGTCTCGGGCGCTAGTTTGCCTGCCTCTTACGTGAGGGAAAGGCGGACTTTACCCTCGGTCTTGGGTAAGTGTTCGAACAGCTACAGAGAAGGAAGTTAATTCCAGGATTCCGTTATATTTCTTCTGCTATATTTTTTCTCCTTGCTGTAATTTTAATTCTCAAATGAGCAAAAGTATTAGTGTAACTTGTAAAAATATTATAAGACTTATACTGCCGTCCTTAATAAAAAGGCGGTGTTTTTCGATTTTTATATTTTAGGTTTATTTGATTGATTAATGTTTTTTAACCTACAAATGTCAGTGTAATGATAAAAAAAATTAAAATTCTATTTTATTTTCAAAAAAAAATTGTCTTAGTGTATATACAAATCAACGTCACATTATACGAAGCGAAAAAGCAGTAAAAAACATGAAGAAAGATAGCCGCAAGGCACACTTTGTAAGGGCTTGTTGCCTTCTTATTTCGTAACAAATATTATGTCACGTCACTGTTTACTAACCTGATAGGCAGCAAGTACTGCTATTGAATAGAGACGACCCTAACAACCAATATCTTTGGTATTATTGTCCCCTTTTTTTCTTTATAAAACGTACCTATTCTAGGAAACTATAAAAACAGAAGCAGGTTAAATATTTACTAAAGAATTAGTATCCCTTGCTGGTCAGTTTTTATAGGGACCATTAGAGGATCGCCAGTTCATTATTTAAATGTTAGGAATAGAGAATACTAACATTGATAAAAGTATTTTGTACGATTGAACTAAAGGTAAGATTTTATGGTAGGTATTACTTAAATACGATTAGTTATAAAATTTACATTATTAGAAGTTGAGCAAAAGCAGCAGAATTTTGATAATCGCCCTTAATATAAAATCGAGCCAAGCAAGTGATATAGAAAATATAATTGAACCAACTTCAGGGAACTTCCTCGATAGTATAATAAAACAAGACTGCGATAAGTTGTTAGAGAATGTTTCTCTTGGAAGTACAGATATTTAAAAATTAATCAAATATACAAACTATTATTACAACTTGGCCTTCTTTTCAGAATTAAAAGATTTTAATATATGGAAATAATATGAACAAAGAAAATTTGTGTGAAAGTTTTGATGTAAGCAATATAAGCGATTTAACAAGAAGGAATAGAATGAAATTTTCTTAAAACTAGAATAGCTAAAGAAGGAATAAAAGACGCACCTTCTTCAAGACAAAGACTGAGGGGAATAGCAAGCTCAAAAAAATTTCTATAATAAGAAATCTATGTCCTCTAATGCCCAAAAGCAGAAGAGAATTTTGGGAAAACTTGATTGAAAATGATGTGCCAAACCTTACAGATTCGCACTCAGAATAAGTAATTAGAAAATAATGTGTATTTTTAATCATACATTTTATTATGATTACAATAATTCAGTTATTTATTGTCTTTCTTGTTATTTGTCCTTTTTTAAATATTTTTTTATTTGAGTGTGAATTTTAAGTTAAATAGATTATGACGAAACTAGAACATATACAGAGTGTCCCGGAAATGGTGGGCAATCTCTCGGATATGGATATATAATGAGAAAATAATGTCACAAGTTCATATAAAATTTTTTCGTCCGGGCTCACCCTGTAGAGTTATTAGCTCTTGAAGTTGAGAATTAAAAATGGTTTTTTTGCTGTAACTTTTGTATTTTTCCACAAATTTTGAAAATTTTTTGGCTGGATCTATAATTTTTGAAACTGCTTTGGATGATAATATGAAATCCTCGATAATAATTATGGGGGCCCGGGGGCAGAGCACCCTCCACCAAAATTTCTAGAAAAAAAATTTTTGTTCCACTATACCCCAAATTTTCCATCATTTTATAAAAATGTATGGTATTTTACGTAAAAAAGGTATACTTGTTGAATATCCATAAAGTAGATATTTTTTGAGATAAACCCGTTTAAAGAGACATTTTATTTAATTGAAACACATTTTATCGTGGTTGGCTTTGACATGTCAGAGTATGCCAAAGGCAATTAAATTGTCAAACTTGTCAAATACGTAGTTTTAAATCTAAGACTCGTCTCATAACTCACAATTTGTTATAAAATATGGAGTATTCCAATGAAGAATATGCTGATATGCATTTAATGTACGGGCGGGCTCTTTGTAATGCTTCGGCAGCAAGAAGATTTTATCAGCATTTTTATCCTAATAGAAGGATTCCGGATCGCAAAACTTTCGAACGTATTGATCAAAGATTAAGAGAAACTGGTAAAATATGATTACTATTATTAAACAAAATGGATATTAAATAAATTATCCTATCCAGCGATTAGGATATACCTCGTTTAAATGGTCCCTTATTGCAGCACTAAAGTGAGGCGGCGCCCCATCGTGCATGAATATCAGTGCATTTCTGGTTTCAAGATCAACATCTTCTAACAGTTGTGGTAATTGATGCACAAGGAAATCTAGGTAACGTTGACCACTAGGGGGTAACACAAATGGACCCAATAAGTAAGGACCAATAATTCCACTCCAAACATTAACATAAAATTGTCTTTGGTGCCTAGTTTCAATAATAGTGGGTTCTCATCAGACCAATAATGTAAATTATGGGAGTTAATAACTCCATTCCTCCCAAAACTTGCTTAGTCAGTATACACAATTAAACTCGTAAACATAGGATTTTGCTCATGTCTCTGAAGAAACCATTGAGAAAACTGTACTCTTGCACGAAAGTCATCAGGATTCAGAGCATGCACTCTTTGGATATGCTAAGGGTGAAGAAACTGTTCTCTAAGGATTCTTGGAACAGTGGTCTTTGGAACATTGGTAAAAGAAGATAATCACCTAATGCTAACCATTGGATGAGCAGCAACTTCGTCCAGTATATTTTCCTCTACTTCAACTGTACGTGCTGTTCGCGGGGCACCCCTGTTTGCAGTAACAGGAGCAAACTGACTTAAAGACATTAAAATTTATTTAATATCCATTTTGTTTAATAATAGTAATCGTATTTTACCAGTTTCTCTTAATCTTTGATCAATACGTTCGAAAGTTTTGCGATCCGGAATCCTTCTATTAGGATAAGAATGCTGATAAAATCTTCTTGCTGCCGAAGCATTACAAAGAGCCCGCCCGTACATTAAATGCATATCAGCATATTCTTCATTGGAATACTCCATATTTTATAACAAATTATGAGTTATGAGATGAGTCT